CAGGCACGACGTCCTGGGATCAAAGAGGTTCAATGTCTGTGAATGAGGCAGGGGCATTGTTTTTTTAGGCTTCCTTTAGTCTCTATGAGCATCCTGGGATCATAAAGGCTGTCCCTGTTTGACTTCTAAAGCACCTGGACCATCATGTGGAGGGAGACAAGACAGAGATGCAGAAGAGAGCAGGGGAGAAATCGAAACAAATGAAAAGAGGTGTTAAGAGCAAAGACAAAAAGAGATGGTAGTAAAAAGGGGAGCTGTTGAGTGAGAGCATCCTGAGGATGAGTACAGGAGGGCACAGAAAGGAGAGTAATGCGATTAGCTGGTTGGATGGTATCGAATAGCAATCGTAGATAACCTGATCCTCTTCCTCATAGCTTCCTCCGAGCATCCTCTACTTTCAAAATGTGATAATCCTGAGCTCCACGCTTCCACAAATGCCTCATTACTATTAACAGTGTTGAGTAATAAAGGCTTTCATTCAGATGCTTAACGGCTTTTTGTAAATCCATGTTACTGCATTCAACGAGAATTCAATAGGTGCATTTCTGCATCATGTTTGTATAGTTGTGTTTTGTTACCTTCCCATCATGCCTTTCGTCTTATATGCGGTGATCAAAGGCCATAACCTTGTTTGGTCTGGTGATGCTCACTCAACCAACATATATGGCTGGTTGCTAATGTCCTGGAAATCCTTCACAAAATGTGTGTGTGTGTGTGTGTGTGTGTGTGTGTGTGTGTGTGTGTGTGTGTGTGTGTGTGTGTGTGTGTGTGTGTGCGTGCGTGCGTGCGTGCGTGCGTGCGTGCGTGCGTGCGTGCGTGCGTGCGTGCGTGCGTGCGTGCGTGCGTGCGTGCGTGCGTGCGTGCGTGCGTGCGTGTGTTTGTGTGTGGCCATATATCGTATTAATAGCAAATGTACTTTCAGCCATGGTCTCTAAACGTAGAATCTGTATTCATTCTCCTGGTATTATTTCTTGCTCTTGTTATTTCCATTATGTCGTTTTCCACACAACATGCATCTCAATAACCTCCTTAGGTCCCTTCATGTTGTTGTCATTCAAGCCACAGAGTGCAGGCTTCTCCACTCAACCATACATTTTCTTCCTTGAGGAAAAAGACTGCAGTATCATAAAGTCAGCCATCCAAATATAATCTTAGAGATTGTAGCGCAGTGCCAGCACATTCTGGCCAACAAACCTGTCGTTCCCACACATTTTGGCCGGTGACTGTAATGACTTCTGGAAGTTAAACCACAAAGTGATTTTCCCTCCAGAGGCTGTTTCATTGAAATACAATGGGAAGCACAGGGAGGGAAAACTGTCCAGTATTCTACAAGAAAATTAAAACAAGACTTGACATCGACAGCCACGCCAGCAGGCTTCGAGATAAATGCTAACATCAGCATGGCAGCAATGTTAACAATGACGATGCTAACACGCTGATATTTCACAGGCTTAATGTTTAACATCTTATTTGAGTGTGTCAGTATGCTAACATTTGCTAAAGTCAATGAGCACAAAGTAAAGTATTGGACATGTTTTGGCTGATTAGTGCTCAGAAAAAGTTTATACAACTCGGGAGAAGTATGTTTAAACCAAATGACATGACAATCCATTAAATAGTTTAAAAGACATTTTGGTAACACTGTGAATGTTACCTTTACAGTGCCACTGAAAGAATATTGCCAAATTCATTAGGACATGTCTGAGAGCCATGAATGTAACACAAAACAAGTTAAAATCCACTACATTAAATTCAATACAATGTTATAAATCCAGAAAGGCAATTACATTTTTGGGGAAATAAAGGCAAGAAACAGAGAGAGACATACAAAAAGATCTGTTTGGTGATTCACTGTAATGGCAGTCGCATTTAAAGGTAACGAAAATCCTTATTGAATATACAGCTATATAGCAACTTGCTGGCACTATAGGAATCACAGGATCACAGTGGAATGTATCCTCTGTGGACCATGAAGGTCTGTACCAAACTTTACATAAATCTATCCATTATTTGTTAACATATTTCAGTCTCAAAGTGTTATGCTGACCAGCCATTCTATTGCAAAGCTGCTAGCATGGCTACAATCTAATAATATAAACTGATAAGGTACTCCAAGATTGGAAAAACACTATAAAAAGTTGTTTGTAACGTCCAGAGACCAACTCCTATCCACAACTCAGATAATGTACATGGTTTAAGAGCACAGATGTTTAGTTCCTATATAATATATATCTTATTTAAGTGCTTCTGACATATCACTGTGATAAATGCTATGAAAGCATTCTGCCTCGTTGGTTGTCGTAGCTAAATGTCTGAAGGTGAAATCGACTTCAGGGTCAAACCACAAACCCAGTAAGCCTCCATTGATTTACAGGGGCTCCGCTCTCATCCCTCTTTATAACAGCTCTTGTAATAGCCACTTGCAAAGCAGATGGCATCTACATTTTTAACATACAACCGTGTTGCTTTTCTTCTTTTGTGGGTTCCAGTGGTGGGGTTAATGATTTAACGAGTGAGACCTTCTTAGAAACAGAAACATATCCAAAATGGAGCTGGAATTCAGTCCACTGTTGTGCAGTTATTTCCTTAATTGTTTCCTGAACTTTGCCCTTGAGGTTTTCCCTGACCCGGCATATCCTGATGGGGCTCAATGACAGACGTGTATTTGGGAAGATGGAAGAGGGTGAGTCCTGAGTGTGTGCATGTGTGAGTGTGGTTTTCCTGATCCAAATCCAGGTGCCAGCAAAACCAAATGTACCTCATTTACTTCTGACACACTCTTCTCAATCTCCTCCACTCTTGAAGCCTGGAATTACCAAATATTCCCAAATTGTTCCCACAGGCTGGTTTAGGTCACTGAAACCAGGACTTGAAATGGACTAGGCTGCTGGGAGACCAATTTATAAGGATTTGGAATCTATCCATCCGTCTATCTTTTCCTTATCACATGGTATCCCTTTCTCTGTTTGCAACTTCTTCAATCCCATTTGGTTCCCTGCAATCGTTATGCTCTGTTTTTACGTGCACCTGCGTTGTGTTTTTCTGCAAGGACATTTTTATATCCTGTCAGTTTTTAACTATGTATTTTAACTAGTTAAGGGATTCTAGTTCTTGTACAGCTGGATCTTAAGTTACCAGAGAAGCAATACCAGCATCAGAGACTCAAAGCTTCATGACAAAGCAAAACTCTGTCTTTTACAATTACTTTGATTGAGTTACCCCTAGTGGAAGAAAATTACACATTGTGCGTTTAAAAAATGAGCTCTGATTGAATAATGTTGTTGGCATGAATTTGAAAATCTAAAAACTGGAGACTAAAGAGGAATACAAATCTCCAAATCCCTCCATGCCCACACTCCCTGCATCACCCTGCAAGCCTCTTATGTTTTTTTAATCACAGCTTTGACCTAAATTAAGTTTCAGCCTCAGTGATCGGGACCAAATTTACCACTAACTTGCATCAAACCAAACACTAACCTGAAACAGCTGCTTTCTGCACGGTATTCTATGTTTTAGCCTAAATGCTCTGAAGTTAGTATCACTGAGAGGTCATAATGCAGACTTCTTTTATGGGCTTTAAGGGGTCGAAAAGTTCAGTCCTCCTGCTGAGGTGCACTGGCCGTCACTGTACTGTCTCCCAGACATCTCTCCCCGGGGGACGCCATTGTATCAGAGCATGAAGGGAAGTGGAGGATGCACGATTCCTTTAAACCAGGCCTAAATCATCCCCTTCCCCATCCATTTTCCCAGCCTCTGCCCATCTCTCCGCCTGGTTCTGTTTCCACCTGGAAAAATAGCATGCAGTGAAACGTGATACAGGGTGGAGGCAGGGGGGTCGCCCCGGTCGCTGCTCTGTCCCGCTAATGGAGATGGATGTTGGCTCAAAATTGTCTCCGAACAGCCTCCATGACGAACGGAGAGGGAGGAGATCCATTTCTCCTGTGCTTTCTCTAAGGCTGCAGAACTCCTCTAATAAGGGGGAGAGGGGGGGGGGGAGCACTCACGACTTGATTTGAGACAGGGGGGTGTGGGATGAAGAACTGCAGAAAGAATAGGATGGCAGACAGAGAAGACATGTGGGGAGACAGAAAAGAGGGAAAATGAGTGTCAGGAGAATGGAGTGGAGGAATTACATGTTGACAACAGAGGAAGATAGATGATAAGGCAGCAGGGAGAGAGTGAATAGAAGGAGTAATGATGGTCAAAAAGGTATAATGCAAACCCCTGAGATGAGGACTGTCAGAGATAAATAGACCAAGATTGCTTACAAATTATTCCGTTGCAATTATGCCTCCAGTAAGTCCATCCTGGAAAATGTCATCATACTGTAACCTACTGTTGGGATTTCCCTTGTGTTTTATCACAGTTATCACAACATGTGTTGGTGTGCTTTGGGGGTTAACACCAGGGTTATCTGAGTAAAACAACACTCTGGATGATAAGAGGCAGAAAAAGAATGATAGCTTTTATGGCAAGAGGTGAGGTATATTTGAGCTGAATTATAAATTGGTTGTAATTGTCATTACAGTCATTGAGTTTGCAATCAGGTACATATCAGATACTACTATGTTGATCCAGAAGGGTGCATTAATAAGCTACCAAGCAGAATGAAAACAAAATAATAAAGTAATTAAAAATAGCCCAACCCAGCCTCATCAAGAACTATAATCCAATTACATATATTATTCTGAAATACTGGATCATAAGCCATTGTACTTTTAGTACTTATATACGTATATTTTGATACCAATACTTTTGTACTTTGACTTCCACTGTGGAATACAGGAATTGTTATTGTAACAGTATTTTGTCAATGTGGTATACGTTTACTTAGGTTAAACATTTAAGAATTTCTTCCACCACTGCAGAGGTGTGATGTTTCAGTGGCCATATAAAAACCTTGTCTTGTACAACAGCTCCCCCTTGTGGAAAAACAAATCAAACGAACATATAACAAACTGGTCTCTTTTATTCAAGACAGTGATTTTTGCACTGTTTATTTTTGACTTTGTAGTCAGAAGAAACACATGCATTCATTTTGTCTTTTTTAGATAGCAATGTACTTCCTCCTTGCATCAACATGTATTATTATGATCGTCCTGTTTGCTTTTTTCTCTGAGTTCCTGTATGGCCTCCCAGCTGTGCTCCAGGCTCGTCCTCAGCTCAGCCAGATCCCTCCTGATCTCCTCCAGGAGCTCTAGTTTTGACAGCTTCCTGTCAATGGAGGAGAGCACTTCCTGCTGCCCGGCCTCCTCCTGGACGGCAGGATCCTCCTCTGCGGTGGGACAGTGGGGCTCCTGAAATGACCCCATGGTTTGCTGCCAAATCATCTCAAAGTACAAGTCAATGAAGGCTTCCAGCTCCTGCAGGCTGCTGTCGCCCCATTGGTCAATCAGCGCCTGAAGGTCTCCAGACTCAGTGAGCCTCCTGAGGGTCCGCTCTCTCAGAGCAGGGCGGCAGAGGGACTGCACACCAATGGCATGTTCCTCATCCAGCACCCTGTGTTGTGTTTGAGGTAAAACCAGGAGCATTGTAGGATGGCTGGTTGTGAACACGGGGCGTTCACTGTTCAAGTGGAGATCATCGGTAGGGAACAAGTGTGGAATTATTATTTTCCACCTCATGGATGAAAACATGGAGGATAAATAGGACATAAAGCCCTCTCTGTCCCGCATACTGGGTCCAGTTTGTCTTCGTCTTCTTCCTGCTGGAACTGCCACTACCTGTCCACCACCTCCTGAGCAGTTCAGTGACGTCTGAGGGCTGGGATTGGCTGGTCCAGTCACTGTAAAGGAGAAATAATGGCAGTGTGATTTCATGAGTGCCATAAAAATACCAACAATTATTTAACAACCGTCTCCACCCTTCCCAAGATATAAAGCCGTTTATTTAGTATTACAGATAATGTTTGATCCCTCCCTGTGTTACACCTGATAGGACAATCTTTAGAGATACTGTATGTGTTGCTTATATTATTTCTCAATTAAGCATTTGGTATAAAACATAGTTTAAATTGTCTATCCTGATTTCTGAATATCCATAAATTACTTGTTTGTTAGTCCAAAGCTTTGTATAGTATAATTTTATACAGAGAAAAGCAGAAAATCTCCATATTTGAGAGGCTAGAATATGTTTTCATTAATACAATATTGTATTGTGTTGCGTGTGTGCATGCAGTTGTGAGTGCATTTCTCTCTTCTGTCAAATGCTTTCCTAGTATAAACCAACGTCATCCCGTTTTTTCTTGTGACCCAACATCAATGGTTTGCATACATTATTGTTCAAGTCATTGTTAGAGGCCGTGTATCAATAGCATAGTTGTTCTTAGTACGTGTTGATCCTGGGAAAGTAATTGAGGTGTGACAACTAGTAATGCATGATAGAGCTTAATTTAATGTGAAGACCTTCTGAGATAATATGCCTTTGTGTTCCAGCCATCTAAACCCAAACCTCAAACTGCCGACCTGGGGCCTTCCTCCTGGCCTATGACTCAGGTAAATGTTACCTTCATCCTTGCCTTGCCTCGCCTTGTGTGTGATAAAAGTGTTTGTGTCATTTTCCCTTTGTGAAGATAACCAGCCATGAATAGATTAGTGAAATTGTATAAATTCCTCATCCTGTAAACTGTCTTGTGACTCCTTGAGGTCATTGCTCTATGAAGCGTATCATTACAAGCTTCAGTCCAGGATAAACTGTCTAGACCTAAAGTGACAAAAGAAACATCTAATTGCTGGAGGTCAAAGGATCAAATGGTGAAAAACGTTACAAAATACTGCTGTTTAAATTAGATCTTTTCACAGCAATATAAAATAGGTATTAGCAATGAAATCACAACTGTTGTGACACTGTTTAACTTCTTAACACTAGCTCCAAGAAGCTTATAATACATTACGACTGTGGGCTGTGATGTAGTGTATTGTCTAACAATTGGTAGCTTTGGGGTTCCTAAAGGGTGATAAAGACTGGAAAAGTGCTGTATAAATGCAATCCATAATATCAATATCAGAATAAATAACTCCTATGGATGATCTTTACTGGCGTGGGATTACTTACAGTCATGCGACAGTTGATGTCTGCAGCATGTGAGCATTTCTAAATCGTTTTTACACAGTGTCACTGAAGCATTTTTCCACATGTGATCACCACCGTGAAGAACGGTCAGCCTTTCTCCAACCAGCATCTCGTCTATCAGTTCAATCAGTTGGTGAACTTGAACTCTATCTCCCCCGTGTTTATTGTCCAGGACGTGATATCTGTTCCCGCACATCTGGACCAGCCTCTGCAGCGGCTCTCCTTCGCTCTCAATGCGTTGCTCGATACTCGTGTCGCCCAGCCAGTCACCGTTGCTGAACAGAACTGCCGCTCTGCTCCACATCTGGCCTCCTCCGGCCTCCAGCTGTTTTTCTATTGCTCCCATGTGGGTATCATTAAATGAGGAGCTCACATTGACAACCAGGAGGATGGCACATGATGCTTCGAGGAGGTCAGAGGTCACAGAGAAACAGCCAGGTGTGTCCAGCACTGCCACTGTCTTGCCGCTGATTTTGACTCGATTTTCGGTGCAGGAAGTGGTTTGGGTTCCTGTGTGGAAGCACTCTCTGCCAAGGATGGTGTCTCCACATGAGCTTTTGCCCGTTTTCCAGCTGCCTAAAAGCACTATTCTCAGCTCATGAAGAGGGTTAAGCGTTGCTGTTGAAGAGAAGATTTACATATCAAACTGGTTAAACTTGAAACAATAAACAAAATATAAAAACAAACCCTTAACGACTAAACCTAATACTATTGAATTAGCACAACATGATTACGCTGACATTGTTTATCACTTTCAAATCTAACTCACCCAGCTGAGACTTTGCTGTCTGCCTTTGTTTCTCCTTCCTCATCAGCCTCTTCTTGGCTTTCTGCTCTTCTCTTATCATCTTCCTCTGCAGCTGGGCCATCCCCTTCCTTTCTATTTCACAATGCTGCTCAGCGTCAAATCCGGCCAACATCTCCTCAATCTTCCCAATCAGCTCTCGGACTTGAAATCCATCCCCTTTAGTTTTATTGTTCAGGACGTGATACCTGTTGTCGCATCTCTCCACGAGCCACCGCAGGGGCTCCCCCTCGCTTTCGATGCACTGCTCCGTGGTCGTGCCTCCCAGCCAGTCCCCCAAAGTGAACAGCACGATGACACGGCTCCAGATGTGCTCGCTGATCAGCTGGAGGTGCTCCTGTGCTGCCCTCCTGTAGGTCTCAGTGAAGGCTCTGTCCACACGGATCACCAGCAGGAAGACGTGAGGCCCCGGAGGGCAGAGAGACAGGCTGAGCAGCAGCTGCCTCCGGTCGAAGACGGGACTCTCGTCACTATAGTAGTTCCTCCACCAGCCCGGAGTGTCCACCACCGTCACCTGTCTCCCAAACACCGCTCCTCTTCCCACCATACACTGGGCTGTTCTCCTTGTTGGGTGGTTGATCTTACTGTTCAGGATTGTGTTCAGCGTTGATGTTTTCCCAGAACCCTTTGCACCCACCAACACAATGCGGACATCAGTAACAGGCCGTAACCTATCTGAAGGAAAAAAGTAGAAACATTATTGTATTCCTTTTAAGTTTCAACTTCTATTAACACACTTTGCAGACAGTGATGGAAAGGTTATTTTAAACTGTAATGCTTAACAGATACAAAATATAATAAGTAACTATATTTTTTGACTTTTGCACAACTTTTTTAGTGGGAATGCTGATACAGCTTTCCAACTATCTGTTATGGTACGCACGAAATTCTTTATTATTCCGCCGGGTTATTTTGCACCTCTTCTTCTCCCACATTCCACATCGCAGAAACTCTGTTCAAACATCAAAATGTTCAGCTCGGTCGGGAATCGATGGCTATAGAGAACCGCAGTGACGCGTCCTAAAACCCGGAAGTAAGTTAGCATTTTTACCATGTCCGGTTCCTTCGACAAAAAGTGATGCAATTACTCCATAGGATTTTGGAAAATAGCTCCAAATAAGGTCTGTGTTTGACACAAATTGAAGAGACAGATCACGTTTTGTTCTACGACATGAAATACATCAGCAGTGACCCCGCTGGTGATTTTTGAAGAGTTTATGTGTCTGAAAAACGATGGTTGTTAACATGTGGCTGAATAGGACTACAGAAGTTGTCCAGGCCGTTTGATGTCATTACACCGAACACGTAAAACACTCCCGCTAAGTTTGTTTGCCCTGTTCTGCTTGAAAGCAAGTACCTGCCTCCTGCAAACTGTTCAAACACACGCTTCAACCTGTACCATTTTGAATCTGTATGTTTGAATATGGATCTTAAGTTGGCGTGACATTGAAGCAGCGACCGTGCTGTAGTTCGTTTATAGCATAACGTTAGCATTTTGCTTCTGGCGACTAGATTTATGATTTGTTTTTATGATTCATACTTTCACACAAACCTCATTCCAACTTTAAAATGTTACACATCTTTCTGACAATATTCGTGTTACACAGCTTTTAAATCTGATTCGTACTTTTAGAGATATTAAACATTGTTCAGACCTTGGTAAAGAGGCCTTCTTCAGATTCTAGAGTGTGTGATGTCACAGAGTGGAGGACAGATTTAATTTTGCCTTCATATTTTCTTTTAAACCTGCCATAATTCCCAAACCCTACATTCCTGAGACATAATTTCTCATTACAAACGTAGGAAAATATCTCGTAGCTTGAGGACATGAAGTGACAAAAACGTTCAACATGTCTCCATTAAACCCCATTGTAAGTTCAGCCTCATCTTTCCCCACCACAGCAGCCGCACACCTTTAGTTAATCTGCCAAAAAGGCCACTTTATTAACCCGAAAGTACACAAAAAGCACACTTCAGAAGCTCAAGTTCCTTGACATGCTTCACGCTTTGAAATCTCACCGATATCTGTTAGTTTAGTTTAGTTTAGTTTATTAGGATCCCCATTAGCTGGTGCATAACAACAGCTAATCTTCCTGGGGTCCACAAATAACATAAAACATGACATTCGACAGTACATTACAAGACAATGATACAAATCGTGTACGGCGTCAATTTTCCTGCAAACAGTGACTTTCATATCAACCATCACATACAGCTTATTTTCTGAACAAATACAATCCTCATCATAACTGTGAAAGGCTGTGTGTGTGTCTATGTTAGCGAAAGTACCATATTCCTGCATGTGTTTAAAAAAAACGATATGAATCGGCGTGCTGCTGTATGTTTACCATAACCTGTCTGCTGCTTGTGTAATTTACAATCTTTGGGCTTCTAGATGCCTCTTCAATCGTCTTTTGAAGCTTGCTTTAGTTGTTTCTTTAGAAATCGGATCTGGCAGTGTGTTCCATGCAGCCATGGCTCGATACCGCACTGTGCTCTTCATAGACTCTGTTTTGGCTTTAGGGATTTGATAGCAACCTCTCGTGGCTCGTTTTATATGTATGGATTTTAGAGCTAGGTGTAAGTTGCTTATATAGACAGGTTGGATGTTTCAGCTCATTTATGTTTCTCAAAAAGACAAGGAGTGATACCATCAGCCTCTCTGTGACTAATGTCCAGGAGAGCTTGACATGCATTTTGTTTACATTATGTCTTGGTGTACACCTAAGGGCAAGCCGAGCTGCTATGTTTTGAACCAGTTGCAGCTTTCCCAGGTCCCTCTTGTTTGCCCCTGACCAGATCATTGAGCAGTAGTCCAGTTGTGAAAGGACTAGAGTCTCAATTACTTGTTTTGTCAGTTGCGGTGGTAAAAACACTGAGCACCTCTTGATGACAGATATATTCCTCCCCATCTTTGCCACCACTGACTCTATGTGTTTCGTCCATGATAAATTGTTCACTAGGATGAGTCTCAGGAGCTTTGTTTCCTCCACCTGCTCAACCTCTACATTATTCAGCATCAGATGCAACTGCGGTTTAGCTACTTTCCAGATTTGCGGGCATGTACCTTCCAGACTCATGTTAAAAATATGACAGATGGGTGCAGCAATGAACTTGGCTACATTCTTTAATAGCTGACCGTCTAAGTTATCAATACCTGGTGGTTTATCATTATTGATTGCCAACAATAACTTTTTTATTTTTCATAATACGTTCTCTAATATTAACATAGGACGACTCGCAGCTAGATTTTGGCATTCCCTGCCTTAGCTTCTCCACTTTATCAATGAAATAGTTATTAAAATAATTGGCAATATCTAGTGGTCTAGTGATGTATGCCCCCTCTGATTCTATAAAGGATGGTGTTGAGTTGTTTTTCCTACCCATGATGGTATTCAAGGTACCCCAGAGCTTTTTTCCATCATGCTTTATATCATTTATCTTAATCTCATAATACATTTTATTCTTCTTTCTGTTCAGTTCAGTTGTTACCGTTCTTCAACAAAACGTTCACACGTAAGAGGTTCATCTCTCATTCACAACAATGAAAATGCTCTCCTCACACATCACCATGGAAACCTTTGATCTCTGGACACATCGTTAGCTCAAATATAAACACCTGTGTCATGGAACACGATGATGTCATAACTCCAACTGACATGCTCAGAGCAGCAGACTTCAGATAATGGTTAATGTTCCTGCCCTCAACAGCTCTAAGTCAATTATGGGGTTTCATCATATGCCGTTTCCATGGAAACGCATCCCTCGTCATAAAAGATGATGTCGCTATAACTCCTATGAAAATGTTCAAAAAGTGCTCAAACTTCACATGTGTGCCAACAGTCCAACCGTGAAGACATCTACGGGACAGTTTTGAGATTTCTTCAAATGCCGTTGCCATGGCAACACAATGCTCGCCATGAAACACGGTTTTCTCATAACTTCAGTGAAAATGCTCCAAACGGCCCAACACTTCACAGGTTTGGTAACGATGCAGCCATCAACGCATCTAAGCGTATTATGGGATGTCATCTAGTGTCGTTGGCATGGCGACAGATCATTCGCTATCAAGTTAGTTCAGAAGTTTGCAGTTCAAATATTCTGCTGCTTTTCCAAGCCTTTTTACCTTCTTTTCTTCTCTCATCATCACACATTCAAGCCCCCAGTGTTCATGTATCATTTCAATCTAAATTCTTCACTTTCTTCTTACACATTACATTTCAGCATAGCAGTTTAGCGTCAGCTTTTCAGCATAAAGCATCCCCACTAGCAATTTCTTCAGGAATTACATTCTCTAGTTTTGTTTGTTTTTCCTTCTGATATGTTAAATTATATGCAAACTCAAGACAAATTATTGTGTAAATAAATATTTACCAATATATTTATTATAATTCTGATTCATATTTTTTCCTTTATTTGTATTACATAACTCTTTTACCTTGTTACTATTTACTCCCAAACACTGGTTTACTGTAGCATTAATGTGATTATTTGTAGGTAAACAAACAAATGGGTTACAGGAATAATTTAACATTTAGGGAAATATACTTATTAGGTTTGTTTGTTCAAACATGAAGCAGGAGCCAGCTGCAAAAGAGATTCACTTAGTATAATGGGGGTAATTAATATAAATTTAGCAATTGTAGTAGGCTACACAAAATAGACTTATCTAAAGACAATAATAGTCTTACTGCAGGAATTGTACAATAACTAGTGTTACCCGAAGCAGATTTGAAAAATAAGCAAAACATTTTAAATATTACAATGAACTCACCTCTCATAAGAGATCTGTGTTTCTTCATTCTCACAAACCTCTTCTGAGCTTCTACCTCCGCCCTCCTCTTCTCCACTGAAATAGCCTTTAAAATGTGTTCCTGCATCTCAAACACTCTGTGTCCATTTTCTTTGACAACTTTCTGTATTTTCTCCAGCAGCTCGGGGCCTTCAGTATCATTGCTGGAGATAACATGGTGACACCTGTGACTGCACTTCTTACTGAGCCATCTGAGGGCCTCCCCCCCCGTCCTTAGAAACTCTGTGTGGTCAGACCTGTATGCAGAGATGAAGACCACCATGCAGTGACTCCACACCCTCTCACCCAGCAGCGCCACGTGCTCCTCCACCGCCCTCCGACGCTTCTCAGAGAAACCTGAGCTTGCCTTTATTGTGATTAGAAATACATGTGGCCCAGGTGAGCACAGAGAAACGCTGTTAGCAATCTCCCTCTTCACCAGCTGTGATGTGTCCTGAGCGCTGAAGTCGCACCACCAGCCGGGGGTGTCCACCACCGCGAGCCTCCTTCCCGCCACCACACCCAGCCGGCGGGAGCACGAGGTCCTCTCTCTGGTGACAAACTCCTCTTTCCCCAGCAGTAAATTCCCAACAGAGCTCTTTCCAGAGTTTCTGCCACCCAGAAGGATTATCTTTAATGTGATGCACAACGTCCGTCCCCTAAAGAAAAATAAAAACAACAAAGGGGTTATTGTAAAAGCTATGTTGCCTAAAATACAATTAATTGTTCAAATATAATTATATATTCCTCTGAACAAAAACAACAAAGTAGCAAAAAAAACAATTTGTCAATTTAGCCCAAGAAAAAACGAGGGAAGCAACAACTGGTTTTATTTCTCCCTTATTATTTTTTTAATATAGCTTATTCAACACAGAATAAGGTTACATTGTTTAGGTTATGTAAATATGTCATGGTTTTCTTTCTTTTTATGCTAGTATGTTGAATATCTTTAAATAGTTTTGTAAACACATTGTTTTATATCCTGTGACACTTCATAGACTTAACAATAAACCAAAACATTGAAAATGAAGTGGTAAATTAATAATAATACAATTTGGTTGTAGAAATGTAAAACAAATTGCCCCAAAATGAGATAGGCTACATCTATATAAGAGCACACTGATTTGCCTCTGTTTTGTAAACTAAAATATTTACAAAACTTGTGAAGCACTCTGAGACAAATAGGATTTGTGATTTTGGGCTATATACTGTAAATAAACTTGAACAGAATTAAAATACTTGTGGTGACACGTTATTGGACATAATTCACCTCTCGTATTGTGTTGCCACACGGACCCTTTAGTGGGGATACCTGTAGCGTTAGCTTCCATTCCTGCTAGCTCATCAAGCAGAGCAGTTCATGTGATAACCTCTCTGTTATTAATGGCTAATAAAGATTAGAACTCTGTTCTTAATACACCGCCTCCGACTCCCTTTTCCTGGCACTACACTGGTGACCCCGACTTTTCCGAGAAAGTTTCCGGGAAATTAACGAGCATGGCTGAACGCGATGTGTTCGTAAAGCTGCCGGAATTCTGGGAGCACGCCGCGGAGGCATGATTCGCACATGTGGAGGCGCACTTCGCCTGCCGACAGGTCCGTGACGGGGACCTGAAATACTACCATGTTGTAGCAGCGCTGGGCAGCTCTGCGTCGTCCAGGTTGGTGGGATTCATCGCAGCCCCCCCCACATCATGGCAAATATGAGGCGATTAAGGCCCTTCTCCTTAAGACATTTAGCTTATCTGCTAAGGAGAGGGCTCGCCAGTTACTTGACATTCAAGGCCTAGGAGACAGCAAGCCATCTCAGCTAATGGAGAAAATGCTAAATCTGCTAGGGGGGAGGATCCCCGGCTTTTATTCACCGAGATTTTCCTGCGTCACTTGCCTCCTCGGGTCCAGACAGCGCTGGCCAACACGCCTGTCACAGAGCCCCGTGCTTTGGCTGAGGAAGCGGATCGTTTTTTCCTGGCTACACAACAGCCCGGTGCAGAGACGTTAGCCGCGACGCTCAGCGGCCCACCTGCAGTCAAGAAAGCGTGGCGGAGGCCGGACACGGCTGTGGCGAGCCGGCGTGGAGACGCCGGAGAGTGCGTTTACCACGCACGTTTCGGGACAAGGGCGAAGAGATGCATCGCTCCGTGCAGCTACAAGCCCCCGGGAAACGGAGGGGCCGGCGCTCAGTAGTGGCTCTGAGTGTCGGCGGCACGTGCAGGCTCCTCTTCGTCAGCGACAGCGTTTCGGGGAGCCTGTTTCTGTGTGACATGGGCGCTCAACGGAGCGTAGTTCCAGCGTCGAGTGAAGACGTCGCCCGTGGGGGGCACGGACCGCGATTGACGACAGCTAACGGCAGTCCCATTCGCACGTACGGCGTGAGGCCTATGTGTCTGTGCATCGGAGGACAGCGTTTCAGCTGGGATTTCGTGACAGCGGACATTTCTTTTCCCCTCCTCGGAGCGGATTTTTTGTGTGCTCATGGACTCTTAGTGGACGTTAAGAATAGGCGTTTGGTTGATGCCTTAACGTTTTCTTCCCTCATGTGCACACTTGGCAGCGCAGCTGTCAGGGGCAGACACGTTTCTCAGACTGTTGGCCGAGTTTCCAGACCTGTCGCTACCCACCTTCTCTGCGCTTACCACTAAGCATGGCGTGGAACACCACGTCACTACCGGGGGGCCTCCTGTCTACGCCAGGGCCCGGCGGTTGAACCCTTCTAAGCTGGCTGTGGCGAGGGCGGAGTTCGCAACCATGGAGCGCCTGGGCATTGTCCGCCGCTCCGACAGTCCTTGGGCTTCCCCCCTGCACGTCGTTCCCAAACGGATTACCGCCGACTCAACGACGACTCAACGACGCCACTACGCCTGACAGCGCGTAGGAAAAGTCCTGAATGTGCGGCACCGGATAGCGATCCGGTGCCGCACATTCAGGACTTTTCGGCGCATCTGGCCGGTACGGGGGTGTTTTCCAAGGTGGACCTGGTGCGTGGATACCACCAGGTGCCCATGCACCCCCTGGACATTCCCAAGACAGCAGTGATAACGCCTTTTGGACTTTTTGAGTTCCTGCGGATGCCTTTTGGACTCAAGAATGCCGCTCAGGCGTTCCAGCGCCTGATGGATTCGGTGCTGCGGGACCTGCCGTTTGTGTTTGTCTACCTCGACGACATACTCGTCGCCAGCGCTTCAGTGCAGGAGCACCTGTCCCACCTCCGAGCCCTTTTCACACAGCTCAACGAACACGGATTAATCATCAATCCTGCAAAGTGCCAGTTCGGGGTGTCGGACATCGATTTCCTGGGGCACCGCGTCACCAAGGGCGGTGCGACACCTCTGCCAGCAAAGGAGGAGGCTGTTGCGGCTATTCCTCGCCCGTACACGCTTCGTGAGTTTCTGGGGATGGTGACTTTCTACCACCGTTTCATCGCCCGGGCCGCACACATCATGAGGCCGCTGTATGAAGCGTTGAAAGGCAAGACCCCCGTCCAGGAGATCGACTGGACAGCAGAGGCGGACGGCGCTTTTGCTGAGGTCAAGACCGCGTTGGCTCAGGCGGCTTTGCTGGCACACCCATCATCTACGGCTCCCATCTCCATCACCACGGACGCGTCGGACTACGCGGTCGGCGCAGTGCACGAGCAGTGGGTGGAGGGCGCTTGGCAGCCGCTCGCCTTTTTCAGCCGCCAGCTGACGCCTAGAGAACGCAAATACAGCGCCTTTGACCGGGAGCTCCTCTGACTTTATTTGGCCGTGCGGCACTTCCGTTTCATGCTGGAAGGCCGTGAATTTATGGCGTTTGTCGACCACAAGCCGCTCACCTTCGCCATATCAAAAGTGGCGGAGCCTTGGTCGGCACGTCAGCAGCGGCAGCTGTCCTACATATCGGAGTTCACTACGGACATTAAGCACGTGGCTGGCAAGTCGAACCTGGTTGCTGATTGCCTCTCCAGGGTCATCATCGGTGCCGTCCAGTTGGGCCTGGACTATACTCGCATGGTGGCGGACCAGGTCACAGATCCCGGCGTCCAGGCTCTGAAGGTGGAGAGCGCGGGGCTGCGCTTGGAGGACGTGGTGTTCGGCGACGTGGGCATTACTCTCCTGTGTGACGTCTCTACGGGCCTGGCGCGGCCTATCGTCCCTGCCAGCTGGAGGCGTCCTGTGTTCGAGGCTGTGCACGGCCTGTCACACCCCGGCGTTAAACCTTCAGTACGTTTGGTAGCGGCGAAGTTCGTTTGGCAAGGACTGAAAAGGGACGTGAGGACTTGGGCCAGGGAGTGCGTGGCTTGTCAACGCGCTAAGGTGCACCGCCACACGAAGGCCCCGTTGGAGCGTTTCCTGGTGCCTGAGAGGAGGTTTGATCACGTCAACATTGACCTGGTTGGTCCATTGCCTTCCTCTCAGGGGTTTTCCTACCTCCTCACCATGGTGGACAGAACGACCCGTTGGCCGGAGGCGGTTCCGCTCGTTTCGACATCAGCCGCAGAGGTTGCCCGGGCCTTCATTGCAACGTGGGTGTGTCGTTTTGGCACCCCGTCAGACATTTCCTCAGACAGGGGCTCTCAGTTCACGTCCGAGCTCTGGAACGCTGTGGCAGGCGGTTTGGGGGTTAAGCTGCACAGGACTACCGCTTACCACCCTCAGGCTAACGGCCTCTGCGAGCGCTTCCATCGCTCCATGAAGGCGGCCCTCAAGGCCGGCCTTACGGACGGTAACTGGGTCGACAAGCTGCCCTGGGTGATGCTGGGCCTGAGGACCGCACTTAAGGAAGATCTGCAGTGTTCTACAGCGGAGATGGTCTACGGTCAGCCGCTGAGAGTTCCGGGGGATTTCCTCCCAAATGCATCAGCTCCCTGGTCTGCCACGGCCCAGCGAGTTTTTCTGTGTGACGCGGCGGAGGCTTTCGCTCCAGTCCCGACTACTCAGCATGGTGCCCCAGGGTCTCGAGTTCCCGCGGAGCTACGCTCGGCTGGGCACGTCTTCATTTGTCACGACGCACACAGAGGCCCCCTGCAGCCCCCTTACGATGGACCTTTCCGGGTTGTGGAACACGGTGAAAAACACCTGGTGGTCGACATGGGCGGTAAGGCTGAGCACGTCTCGGTTGACCGGGTGAAGGCTGCTCACTTGGACGTGGACCGGCCGGTGGTGCTGGCTCGGCCGCCGAGACGGGGCTGACCCCCGGCTTTGATTCCTGTCAGGGAGTGTGGACCTCCGGTCCCTGCTCTGTCAGGGGCCGCACGGGCGGAGGTCGCTGTACCGACTCCGGTGCGCAGGTCTCGTGGGGGCAGGCGGATTGTTCCTCCCCGCCATACATGTTTACACGTGAATTCTGTGGGGGCTTGTGTGGTGACACGTTATTGGACATAATTCACCTCTCGTATTGTGTTGCCACACGGACCCTTTAGTGGGAACACCTGTAGCGTTAGCTTCCATTCCTGCTAGCTCATCAAGCAGAGCAGTTCATGTGATAACCTCTCTGTTATTAATGGCTAATAAAGATTAGAACTCTGTTCTTAATACACCGCCTCCGACTCCTTTTTCCTGGCACTACATACTTCCATTTGAAATCTCATGACACTTATACATAATAGTATAAAGGCAATATATTATAGCATGAATTATGAAACTGCAATGCACTATAAATACCAAGGTAAGAGTATAAAATGAAACAAATCTAAATATGGCCAAGAAGTAGTAAATATCAATAAAAAAATATTGAGAAGACATTTAGATTGAACCAGATTACAACTACTTAACTATAAAGCAATAGGTTGTTTATAATTCAAAGTCAAGACATAATTGTGTATCTAATGTAGATATTAGGAAACCTTCACAATTAAACTTACATGTCAACTTCTCGCTGGTTGCCATCTCACATTCTGTAGGACAGGTATACTTTAAACAAACAGCATTTATTCACACCCTTATTTAATGTCCGTCCTTCTGTGTCCTTGGGAGAAATGTGGTGAAAGCTTCCTCTTGAGGGTGTACTGTAGCAGAAGTTTGTGATTTATGTGTTTATGAGTCTGAAGGTTGTCCATAATGATTAATCAGACCACATGCAGTGAGCCACACCTCTCTGCAGCAGGTCGACAGTCCATGTCGAAGAGAAACATGAAGAGGGTGTGTAAAACGTATCGTGTACCATCACACACAGATACTGTGCATTACAGTGTTATCACAGGACATTGAATAGGGAATACAAATAATCAAAATACAAGTGTTTATGTTTTAAATGTTTTTATTGGTGAAGCATAATTATTTTTAAAGACAACAAAACATGGTCGTGCTCTGTCGTAGATTACACTATAGTAAAAATCATTTAAAATATTTGTAATTAGCTCTACTGTCTGCAACTAAAATGTTAATTGGGTTAGAAAGCTACGGTAATTAAACATTAGCAAATTGCTAAATGCAGGCTGGCTCGTCAGTCCCCTCCTGCTCCCTGGCTAAATGACGCACTGCGTGCTAATAGAACCATCCTTCGGGCAGCAGAGCGGAAACGGTGGAAATCCAAACACCATGACGACCTCCTAACCTATCAAGCTCTCCTCTTTCTCTGCTTCGATCTCTCAGGCAAAAAGCACTTTCTTTCAAGATAAGATCCAATCTTCCTATTCCAATCCCAAAAAACTATTTTCCATCTTTTCCACCCTCTTGGACCCCCCCCAAAGCCCCTTTCCCCTCCTCCCTTCTGTCAAGCAACTTTGTTAACTACTTTGAACAATTTTTTGATGATATTCACTCTTCTTTTTCTGACTCACCTTTACTCACCACTGGGTCACCAGACCCTCCTTCCACCCAGTGGCGCCTCCAGAAATCTTTCAAGGGGGGGCCACTGAAAATCTTGGGGTGGCCCACCAAAACCAATAATTTAATTGTTGTAAAAGTATAGACTAGATGAAAACAATGGCAAAGAGAATCACCTACTGATATACTTTGGTTTCTTATTTTACATTTTCTGATACTATTCATCTGAAGTGAATATAATACGGATAGTTAACATTTTACTTCAAACAACATTTAAAATAACCTTATTTTGTGTTATGTATACATGTGTTGGTGATTTATTGTTTTGTTTTTTATATATGCTAGTTGTTCTTTCCTTTTAAAAAGACAAATACAGCTTAATTTAAATAAGTTCCTTTATTGTAAGGCACAAAATGTTCAGCATTCTCAACACATACAATACACAACAGCAACACGTTCTTCAGTTATATTATGTCTCTAGGTTATAAATTGTTTTAGACTGAACAAAGCTGTTTGTGTCACACTGGGATCAAAGATGATTGACATGACTTTATTAAATCAAGTTTTAAAACATGACTATTTTATTTCAACAGGACACAAAAAACACAAGGGGTAACATGGTAAATACATACTGTGATTGAACACAAAAACACCATCTATTATTGACCTTTATAGCAAATTCAAAACATTATAAATGATACAAAACACCACCTTTTAGTATTAGACAGAAAATAGGTGACGAGACATATTTCTATTTGTTTTAGATTAGGCCACTGTGGTGAGAGTAATACATATAGCTTGTATTCCATTTGTTTTGAAAATGTATATACTATATATAACAAACTGGTTACCCTTTTTTTAAATTAGCATACAGAACATTATGAAAACAAACTTGACTATTGGTCGGCTCATAACCTCAGAACACAGAAGAGGAAAAACTGCATAGATTCTCGTTTCATTTTGAAGGAGCTGCAGACCTAAAGTGTGTAGAAGACTTAAATGATTACAAAGGTCACAATCACATTAATAAAACTGTACTTAGGTTTTAGTTTCACTTTTACAAAACAGAGTTCCACATGTACTTTCTAGCATGTATGGTCATCTCCTCACTAGCCCTATGCTGCTGCTCCCCTGCCAGCTCTGTCTCTCCTTTACTCATCTTCTTCTTAAAATAAGAAGAGATGTCTGTTGACTTTCTCTTCATTTTCTGCAAATTAACATTACTCACAGCAGTGATTAATAGTAGCCGCCTACGCATTACACCAGCCCAGCATACCGACATCAGCTAACGTTAGCTTAGCAAGCTAAACTAACGCTAACTAGGATAGCCGCCAAAGTGTGTTTACAGACGAATTATACCTGAAGTCAAGCCAGCCTTTACTGAGCCCCGAGCCTGTTTTCCAGGTCTTCCAGCGTTTTTTATCGTATAACTGCCATTGAACACACAATTTGATCAGAATCCCTGCTGAAAAAAACAGCTTAGACCAGCTTAAGATGGTTGCTGGTGTTAGCTGGTGTTAGGCTGGTTTAGTTGGTTTACCAGGCTGGACAAGCTGGCCAGGCGGGTCTTGCTGGTTTGTTAGTATAATTGGCCAACCCGGTATCACGGCAAGACGTGAACATGTGACCAGGGGCGGACTGGGACTAAAATTCAGCCCTGGAAACTGACCCAGTCCGGCCACATGAAATGTCAAATGTTAGAAATCCGCTGTTTATTATTTAAAGTTTCTGATTCACTCCTTTTTCCCTCTCTGTACACAGCTCCAGTTTGATCATTGGCCTGTCATCAGATTTCATTTTTAGTTGCTGCTGTAGCGGAAGTTTAGTACAATTCTTTTTGATGAAATACTCCAAATCTCCACCCTCCATAATTGCACTTGCTTCAGTTGCTTGCTACTTTTTAAGGGCAGTGATGACAGTTACAGTACGAACTGAAGTTGATGCGATTTGATTGGATTGTGAGGCATGACGTGAGCCTCATCTGATTGGTCAATCCCTCAATTTTTTTTCACCAACGGAAGCCAATTTCGGCTGGCCTCCTCTCGCAACAGAGAGTGCAATCTACTGTTTCACCATAACATCTAGAGGGGCGCTGTTTCACTCTTTGTAAAATACTCAATGAGAATGGGGGAGAGACGGGCCGACAGAATAATTACCGAAACTAAACAAAGTGTTTTCATTTATTTATTAATATTATAACTACAATGCAAAAAAAACAGGGGAAGACTGGCTTCCCTTGGCCTCCAGGAGAAAACGACACTGAGTTCAAGGGATAATTCTCACCCACCTCTTGCTCTTGCCCTGCACGTGTGCCGGTTGAGCTTGGTTCTTCCAGCAGCTCAACTCTGTCCCTCATCATGAATGCTGGCTGTATATCTGAACTCGCGCCCACATCATTCTCTTCATCATCTTGCACTTGTTTTAAGCTGCTGATGATGATAGAGCTTGTAGCAGCGCTGCTGCCAAAAAGGTCTGTCAATTTGCGACATTTATATGCTCCACCTGCGAGTGACTTCACCTTTTTTTCTCTTGCCTTCTCGGCCCACCTTTTTCTTTTCGTTTTCTTTGATTTTTATTTTTTTTAACCATGTTTTTCCATTCTCCCTGTCTGCCGCGGCGTCTAATCCCTTCTCTTCGTGTGGCCGGTATTTATTCTTCTTCGTGTGTGATTATTTGACATAAGAACCACACAACCGCATTATCGGCCGCTGTCGCCCTCTGTCGGCCGTCAGCGCAATTTAAATGATGACGTTAAACCTTTTTTTTTTTTTTAAGTGCCGGCCGCCAACGGCCCTTGACGACCGGCCGTTCTGTGGTTCTCCAGATTCTACAGATGGCCAGTCCGCCCCTGCATGTGACGATTTACCATGCTGGGAGACGTGAAGATGTCACGATTTCGTACCCTTCAAACGTGACAGCTACACGGTATTGTTAACCCATGTTAACCCAAGCCCCCAGGAAGTGCGCCGGAGTCTGATGAGAATATTCGTAGTGGTCAAACGGCGGTACTACACTTACGTTTGGTTGCTGGGCCCGGAAACACTTTTTCCCATTGACTTACATGGGGAAAGAGTGGTCTGTAACTCGTTGGATAATTTTTTAAAAACTAAATAAACAACCCAGTATGAAGACTTGTATAGCCCTTATTAAAAACATTCGTTCCTCAAGTTGTAAAAATGTGCTAATAACGTTATTCTGAGAGTTATTTCCCTCGGCATTATGAACGTGCATCTAACCCACGGGACCGCGCTGCCCGGCACGTTCATGTGATGTGACGTGTTCAGCACCTCCCCCCTTCACACGCGGTCACGTTCAGTGTTCACTGTCACGTCACTGAGGCCAAAGAGACAACGCTTTACAGTCTATGCTAACAACCGACAACAGTTTGCTCCAAAAGGTAAGATACGAAAACATATTTATTTTCTAACCTGCCTCCTTAATGTCTGTATGTAATGTAACATGTTCTCATATAAAAGAGTAAAATAAGCCAAACCACTCATCAGCAACCGCTACTGTGGCTAAGCTAATGTTGGGTGTTTGCACAGTAATTTTCCATACTTTTCATAGTTAACCAAAATGCTAGAAATGTATGCATGCCAGCAGTTCTGCAATGTTAACTCTGTATGCATTAGCTAACTTTCTAGAAACCAGACTTTGCATTTATAATTCGTTTTATATATATATTGTAGTGCCGAGAGATAGGGAGTCGGAGGCGGTGCAATGGAGGTACAAAGCTTGCTTTAATGAGCAGCAGAAATGTAGATGTTGTTGGGTTCGCAGCCCGGACGACAAGAGAAAGAGCCAGGAGGGCACACAACATATGATAACAACACATATATGTCCGTGTGGAAACAATAGCCCCAACTGTAGTTCCATGTATGAATTATGTCCCAGTGTATTAATAGGTGGTCACCACACAAGCCCCCTCAGAATTCAAACAGGGCAAAAAAAAATCCTCGCGTCCGTGGAGGAAGCACCACAGGGGCCGAGGAGGGTGGGGCCGCAGGTGAGGACCGGGCCATGGAACGGGCCGTCGGAAGGGGGCCGCAGTAGGCGTCGTGGCGAATGAAGTCATCACCCGCCAGTCGGTGAAAGCCGGGGTCGCTGAGTCGCGACGGGCGTCAACAACCCGGTGGTCCCCAGCAGGAAGGAGCGCTGCCCGGCCGCAGGCGAGGGCACAGCGGCGGCGGGCATGAAGTCCTCGGGAGGAAGGAGCGCAAACCCCGGCCGCAGGCAGACGTGCAACGGCGGCGGGGCACGAAGTCCTCGGCAGGCGTCGAGGCATCCCCGGGAAGCAGGAGAGGCCAGACAGGGTCCCGGAGCGCGCCACCCATGGGCCGATGGAGCATGGGCGACGTCCGGAACTGTCGAGGCGAGAGGGGGTCCAGGAGTGCACCACCCAGGCGTCGATGAAAACGTGAGTGGCGTCTGGAACCGCCGTGGAGGTGGTGAAAAATGTGAGAGTGTCCACCTGAGGTCAACCGGCTGGTCGAACCTCCTCTCCGGCACCAGAAAAAAAGCAAAAACTCAAAAGGGTCGATAGCCGTTAGCTGTTGCCGTTAGCTGGCAGCTACCGGTAGCTGCTGGCCGTAGTTAGCCAACGTGGTTAGCTGCTAGTTGTCGTTAGCTAGCGCAGCTGGGACGTGGCAGCCGCACTCCCGAAGAAACAACCCCACGAGGTAGCAATCGGGTTCATCCCTACCCAGCAGGTCGTGCATCGTCCCCCCTGTAGTCGGAAGGCAGATGCGGGAATGGCGAGCAACATCCTCAGCCATTCCACGAGGCGCGCACCGAGCCTCAGTCCGCGTGCCTGTAGCAGCTACGGTCGACTCCAAAAAATCCCCGGCATTTCGAAAAAGAAACCTGGGTTTCCTTTGCCGTGTTCGGGTCCGTCTCGGAAACTTCCCAAGACGCTGTCGGGGTCACCAATGTAGTGCCGAGAGATAGGGAGTCGGAGGCGGTGCAATGGAGGTACAAAGCTTGCTTTAATGAGCAGCAGAAATGTAGATGTTGTTGGGTCGCAGCCCGGGACGACAAGAGAAAGAGCCAGGAGGGCACACAACATATGATAACAACACATATATGTCCGTGTGGAAACAATAGCCCCAACTGTAGCTCCATGTATGAATTATGTCCCAGTGTATTAATAGGTGGTCACCACAATATATATATATTTCTATTTAAAATCTATAAATGTGAGATGAAAAAACTAAAAATGACATATCTTTTTCAAAACTAATTTCTAATGCAATGTCCCTACCATTGTAAACGACAATGCATACAGAATCTTCAAGAAACACATATTATTTTAAAGAGGCGTGAAGAGCTAATCATTTGTACTTTATTTATAGATGGCAGAAATAGCCGGATCGACATCCAGTTAGGAAATCCTGAAGGAAAGTGGGCCTCCCGCCATACTTGGACAAGGTGCTGTATAGTTTTTCTAAGAATTTTTATTCATTTTGTTTCAGTAATTTTTTGATTGCATACCCTTTACTTTCATATGGCAAAAACAAATATATTGTACCTTATTTTTACATCTGATAAGTGAAATCAGTTGATTGTGACCTTATCACAAAAAGTCAGTGACTTGATACATCCTGCTTCGTAATAATGCATGAAATCGTCATGCATTATTTAATGTAATATTAATATATAATCTTAATCCTTATAAAGTTTCATCATGATTCTATATACAAGTATAGAGTTATATGTAATATAATATACAAATTAAACTTGTGTAGTCTTAAAAATATGATGAAAATGATATGACAACTCAGGCTACATGTACCGCCTTTTTCTAAAAGATGATCACCAGTAACCACTTTTTCCTTTTTCAATATATTTTATTCTATATAGGTCCCAATGTGTGGATAATAGGGAGCAGCTACGTTAGACGTGGGGAAGAAAGAGCCAGACACACCATGGGAAGCAACCTGGGTCTCAATTGCCGTGTGTGGTGGTTTGGCAAGGGTGGTCTGAGGTGGAGGAACCTTCTTCCCTTTTTCTATTAGTCCTTGAGAGGAAGAACAGTCCCGGATGTCCTGCTCATCCACTGTGGCGGCAACGACCTTGGCAACATCAAAGGTGTGGAGCTTGTCACAGCGATGAAGCAGGACCTGCTTTCCCTCAGTGACAACTTCTCAGAGATGAAGATAATTCTATCTTCTATCAATGAGAGATGTCACTGGAGGAAAGCTGAACAAGGCCAGAATGTGGGTGAACAGAGAGATGGATAAATGTGTTAGTGGTTTGGGTAGAGTGTAAGGCATCCTTGCATTAAGTTTGACTGCCCTGGCATATTCTAAGAGATGGAGTTCATTTCACCAATTTGGGAAATGATATGTTTTTAAGTAACCTTAAACAGTCCCTTGAGGCTACAATCTAAAGTGGTTCTGCATTTTGGATTCTAGCCTCAACAGGATATGTATATTTAACAAGAATAACTTTTAAATTTGACAGGGCAGTCCTCCTTGTAAGGATGTCTTCACTTACTCACACTATTTTTTTTAAATGTGTAATTTAATTAAATTGTTCACTCACATTCTGTGTTCTTCCTCTCTCTTAAACTTTAGTCCCCTTGTCTTGTTCTCTCTTTCCCTCACTCATTTTAGTCCCCCTGTTTTGTTTCTCTCTTTCCCTTACTCATCTTCCCCAGCCTCACCAGCCTCACCCAGACGACGAGACGGCGTACAGAGAGGAGGTCGAAAACCTGACATCTTGGTGCCAGGATAACAACCTCCATCTCAACGTCAGCAAAACCAAGGAGCTGATTGTGGATTGCAGGAAGCAGCAAAGAGAGGGACACGCCCCCCATCGCCATCAATGGGACTACGGTAGAGAGAGTCAGCAGCTTCAGTCAGGTTCCTCAGTGTCCATCACGGACACGGCTGCATCACGGCCTGTTACGGCAGCTGCACCGCCCTCAATCGTAAGGCTTTCCAAAGGGTGGTGAAAACTGCACAGAACATCACCAGGGCGGAGCTGCCATCCATGGAGGACCTTTACTCCCAGCGGCTCAGGAAGAAAGCCCTCAGTTTATGTTTATGTTTATTTTAGAAATGTTTTGGCACATTTGTTCCAATTCTGCTAATGGTATATTGCAGGATATTTAAGTCTCCCATGTACTTTTTAAATTAATAATAGTATGTTCATCTTGATGTTTAACTTGTAATATTGTAATCATCTTAGTTAGAAATGCTGTTTCCACCCCATCCTCTGCTGCTGAATGATTGTATATATTGTTACTTAAAGTGCTTGTCTTTGATATTATAATGATTACACCAGAAAGTCACTCTTTGTGAGATTTATTTGTTCACATTTTTCCTAGCCACAAGATGATGTTCATTACCAAAGCTGGGTGAAGGTATTGATGCACGGATCAATGCAATCCTTTACAACAGCATTCCACTATGGTTGGGGATGTCTGTAAAAAAAAAGGAGAAATAATCTTAAACCAAATAAGTGTCGCAATATAGGGAAACAAACTGACAAAAACATCAATTAGATCAGAATACATTTACATTGTTACAGCAGAAAAGAGCCAAAGACAGCCTAATGTTACTTAAAGTATGTGTACTGTTCTCACTAGATGTTCCTGGAATCTAGCTATTCAGTCAGCATAAACATGAACTTCGAATAATTCCAGGAGAACGGGATTCTGAATTGGAGATTACTGAAGCTCTTGAATATTCTTATATTCTTTATTGTAAAACTGTAACACACAAGAAAAAGACATTGTTTTACAGTTGCAATGGGATAAGTATACATGACAGGTATACGGAAACACAACATAAATTACCATGCTATAGTCATGCTAGACTAGTTAGACAACTTAGAAGGCTAACAAATCTATGTTATAACTGAAGAGAAAACAAGAGTTTAGCTAAATGCTAATATGCTAAAGAGGCTAAGCTAACAACGAGCTAATATGCTAAAGAGGCTAAGCTAACAACGAGCTAATACGCTAGCGGAATACTGTTACATTGTCATTGACATGAGGCGTTAGCTTAGGCCTAGTGGTGCAGATGCAGTTTAACATTGCATAATAAAAGGTAAGAAATCCGATCAAATTATGAAATAAACACCGTTCTACATTAATATAGTTTCGACGAACATATTTACTTACAGACAATGCGCTTAACGAGTCTCCAGAAGATGGATGAAGCCAGATTGTGGAGCTAACAAAAACTGGACTGCCACATGTAATTTCCCAACTGACTGACACAACTTCCTGTATGACTATTTCCTGTTGTAGATAAAGCTGCGCTATTATCACTCGCCACTGGGGGCTCCCACAAACACACAGCTCTATACACGGAACACAACACTCCCCGCTTGAGGTTTTGGAGACAGGACCTCACATTTCTACAACTACTTTAATCTTGAGAGTCCTCTGGAGACAGGAGAAGGACCACTTCCGTCGCAGGTCTGGAGTAAACCTTCGGCTTGCCCTCCTTGATCACTCGCACGTCTACTTTCCTCACCAGTCCATCCTGGCTCGGAAAAGCCTTTGTGACGACTGCAGTGGGCCAGTCGTTTCTCTTTGCTTGAGCATCTTTCATTAAGACTACATCTCCTTGCTTGAGATTAGGCCTCTTGTTTACCCATTTATGCCGGACTTGCAGGGTGCTCAAATACTCTCGGCGCCACCTAGTCCAAAAGGTGTTCGCCAGACTTTGGACACGCTTCCATTCTGCCTTGAGAAGCTCTCCTTTCTTGAAGTCGCTTGGTGGAGGTGGAGGAGCGCCGACTTTCTGAGTCAGGAGCATCAGAGGAGAGAGGATAACGGGAGCTTCTGGATCGGAAGATACAGGAATCAGAGGCCTTGCGTTCATAATAGCACTGACCTCGGCCATTAGGGTCGTCAAGACCTCATGAGTTAGGCGTGACTTATCTTCCAGAAGCATGCAGTCCAGGATACGACGAGCGATCCCGATCATCCTCTCCCATACACCGCCCATGTGAGATGAATGAGGGGGATTGAAAACCCAGATGCATTTCTGTGCCTCCAGAAACTTCTCCACGCCATGCGGGTCAGGGAGGGATCCATCCATTCCGAGCTCTCTGCATGCGCCAATGAAATTGGTCCCACAATCTGAGCGCAGCTGCTTTGCGGGCCCTCTGATAGCGAAAAACCTTCTGAGTGCATTAATGAAGCTGCTAGCACTCATGGCTTCGATGATTTCGATGTGCACGGCTCGTGTACACATACATGAAAACAACACTGCCCAGCGTTTACTGTTGACTTGCCCTCCTCTGGTACGGCGAGAGACCACCTCCCAAGGCCCGAATACATCTACTCCCACATATGAAAAGGGTGGTGCTGCCTGTAGCCGCTCGGCTGGCAGATCTGCCATCTGTTGGTGCTCTGTTTTCCCTCGAAGTCTTCTGCAGGTCACGCATTTGGAGAGCAGACTACTGATGCTTCGTTTAGCTCTCACCAGCCAGATTCCAGATGCTCTGACGGCGCCCTCTGTAAAATGCCTGCCTTGGTGTTTCACAGCATGGTGGTGATGACGAACAATGAGGGTTCCTAGATGGTGATGGCCTGGAATAATGATGGGGTTGGTTTCGTCTGTGCTTAACTGAGACTCTTTGATGCGACCTCCCACTCTGAGTATTCCAGTGCTGTCGACAAAGGGATGTAGTTTCTGCAGACTGCTGTTGATAGGAAGGTTGCCTGACGTTTCGATACACCTGAACTCTTCTGCGTAGCACTCACGTTGCACACTTTTAATCACCAGTATCTTAGCTTTCTCCGTCTCCCCATTGGAAAGCCCCTTGTGGCAGATGTGCCACCCGTGACAGGTGTCCACCTGTCTAGCTTGGGAGAAAGACGAAGCGATGTGGACTAAGTGTCCTACTGCCTTGATGAGAGTGTCAAAGTCAGAGAAGCGCTCAAAGCGTGCTGTGTTCAAAGTGTCCTTTTTGATGTTAGTGATGTTAACAACAACTTGTGGGCGAACCTCGGAATCTGAGATGGAGTCAACTAGGTCATAGATCTCTTGACGTTCTGGTTTTGGTGAAGACGGGTTCCGGAGAAAGGCTGGCCCGGTGAGCCATGTTGTACTTCCCAGAAGTGACGCTGGCACGGATCGAGTCCCATGGTCTGCTGGGTTATGATCGGTGGACACATACTGCCACTGTTCTGGAGCTGAGGACTGACGGATTTGCTGAACTCTGTTGTTCACGTAAACGTAGAACCTCCTGGATTGATTATGGATGTAGCCAAGTACCACCTTACTGTCTGTGTAGTACTCGATGCTGTCAAACTTCAGATCCATTTCTTCCACTATCATGTCGGCCATCTCGACAGCGAGAACTGCCGCACAAAGCTCCAACCGAGGTATAGAAAGGTCTGGTTTTGGAGCTAGTCTGGCCTTTCCAAAGACGAAGCCGACTTCTACTCGTCCATCATTGTTGGTTACTTTCAAGTATGCCACAGCTGAAACTGCCTTCACTGATGCGTCCGCAAAGATGCATAGTTCTCTGCGCTGAGCATTAGGGCTTGAGATAGTCGTGTAGGCTCTTGGTATTTTGAGGTCTTTAAGGTCTTGAAGAGACTCCCTCCATCTGTCCCAATCTACTTCCATGCCTTTTGGAAGGGGAGAATCCCATTCTTCAGCTTGTATGGAGAGTTCTCTGAGGAGTAGCCTTCCCTGTATAGTTACTGGGGTAAGGAAACCAAGGGGGTCGTAAATACTATTCACGGTTGAAAGCACTCCTCGCCGGGTGAAGGGTTTCTGTTCAGCAGCAACTTGGAACATGAACGTATCTGCTGTTATGCTCCATGTCACTCCTAGAGTCCGTTGCAGTGGCATATCGTCGCTGAAAAGATTGCGCTCTTGGATGTCTTTGGCCCGATCTTCTGGGCTGAAAGCATCGATGACGGCTTGTCGGTTAGAGGCCACTTTATGCAACCGAAGGTTGGAAACGGCGAGCATTTCTTGAGCTCGCTTGAGGACACTGATAGCTTCTCCCTCAGTGGGGCAGGACTTTAACAAGTCGTCAACGTAGAACTCTCTTTCGACCAACCTTCTTGCATCGCCGCCGAAGTCGTTTTCTTCTTCTCTCGCTGCTCTCCTCAACCCATAGATGGCAACGGCTGGGGAAGGGCTGTTTCCAAAGACGTGGACACGCATTCTGTACTCCACGATGTCGCTGTCGAGATCGTTATTGCGATACCACAGGAAACGCAGAAAATCTCTATGCTCTTTTTTCACGACGAAACAGTGAAACATGTGCTGGACGTCAGCTGTTATTGCGACGAGATCTTTTCTGAACCTCATGAGTACACCAATGAGGGTGTTGTTCAGGTCTGGGCCTCGGAGAAGCACGTTGTTGAGTGAGACGCCCTGATAGGCTGCACTAGAGTCGAAGACAACTCGAATCTGCTCCGGCTTCTTCGGATGATAGACTCCAAAGGAGGGGAGATACCAGACTTCTTGGCCTTCCTGCAGTGGAGGAGCTACCTCTGCGTGTTCGTTCTTGAACAATTTCTCAATAAATTCCAGGAAGTGTGTCTTCATCTGGGGACGTTTCTCTAAGGTCCGACGGAGTGAGATTAGACGATTATAGGCACAGTCTCTGTTGTTTGGTAGCCTTTGTCTGGGTGTCTTAAAGGGCAAGGGAGCAACCCAGCTGTTGGAGTTGTCTTGATGGACCTCACTGTCCATGATGCGGAGAAACCTTGTGTCGTCTATTGAGGGGGCGAGTTTGTGGTCGCTGGGAGTGCGACGAAAGATGAATTGACCCAGATTCTCTTCATCTATTGTTGAGGGTGAACTGTCTGAAGAAGTCACTGGGAAAGCTTGGTGCATAGTGTCGTGACCAAATCTTTCTTTTACTTGCACTTGACTGCCACAGGGCTGCAGGTAGCTTGGGCGGCCATTTTCCAAGATGGCAGTCTTGAGCGTGCTCACTACAGATGGCTTGTGAGCCCCTCCTAGGCAGACGTCGCCGATTACGACCCAACCAAGGTCCAACTTCTGGGCGAATGGAGCATTGTGTGGCCCGTTGATTTGCTTCCTGATTTTATGGACTCTAAGGATGTCCCTGCCAAGCAACAAGAGTATTTCTGCTTGCGGATCAAGGGATGGTATCTCGTCCGCCATCTTCCTCAGGTGATTGTGGTGCAAAGCTGCATCAGGGGTTGGAATCTCTGAACGGTTGTTGGGGATCTGGTTACATTCAATGAGTGTAGGGAGACGAAGACTGATCTTCTGGTCGATTGACTCTATAACGTAACCATGGGCCCTTCGTCCAGTTGTCTCTTTGAGCCCTGCGCATGTTTTCAGCGTGTATGGAAATTCACCACCTTGGATGTTAAAGACACTGAAGAACTCTGACCTCGCCAGAGATTTGTTGCTTTGCTCGTCGAGTATAGCATAGACTTTCGTTGATTTCTCATGGTGCCCCTCAGGGTAAACACTGACGAGACATATCTTTGAGCATGCTCTTGCGCTAACTCCTCTTCCACATACCTCCGTGCACTTAGCGGTGACGTCTTCGGTGACCTTGTCCTCCTCCCCGCCATGCTCTGGAGAAGAGGTGAAGGGCCTGGATGTCCATTGGGGGGGGACCCGGATGGAGGGCTGACGGATGACGATCACTCTGGCATTCTCCGCATTGTACTTCCGCTTTGCAGTCTCTTGCGAGATGTTCTGTGGATGAACAGCATCTAAAGCATATGGAGTGATCTTTCAGGAATTGTTTGCGATCCTCGATGGTCTTCTCCCTGAAGCTTCTGCACTTTTTCAGCGGATGAGGCTTCCCATGTATGGGACAGAGCTTGTTGTCGTTAACTGATTTATTTGTACCTCCGTATTCCTTGGATGGGAACACAGTTGTCTTGTTGACGGATACAGATGCTCTGGTAAACCTGTCTGAGCCCTTTCTTGGTTCTGACGGTGCTTGAGAAACGGCGAAGTTGAAGCTGGGATCTGTACGTGTCATAGCTTCTGTGCGCACGAAGTCGACAAAGACAGGAAATGGAGGAAAGCTGACGTTGTTATCACGTTTGTATCTCGACCCGTATGACATCCACCTTTCCTGGAGATTATAGGGCAACTTTTCGGCGATGGGATGAACTCCCCTGGATGTGTCCAAGTATGCTAGCCCAGGTAGGTAGCCATCCAGCTTTGCTGCTTTGACCTCTAGCAACAGATCTCCGAGTTCACGGAGCTTTTGTGGTTCTTTGTTTGTTAGTTTTGGGAAACGCTCTAATTTGGAGAAGAGAGCTCGCTCGATGGCTTCAGGTGAGCCGTACGTCTCTTCCAGCCTCTCCCAGGCCATACTTAGTCCAGCTGGCGGACATCTGATGTTCGCTGCTTTGAGCCTGCGAACGTGCTCTGAAGACTCTCTGCCAAGCCATCTACTGAGGAGGTCCAGCTCTTCTCCTGCTGTAAGGTCTAATCCAGCAATGGCACTCTTGAAAGACGATTTCCAGGCCCAATAGTTCTCTGGTTTGTCGTCGAAGGTGCTTAGGCCTGTTGTGAGGAGCTGGTTGCGAGCCAGACACTTGGCAAGATCGTGGTTGGTAGGTGTTCTGTCGTACTCTGAAATACGTGGATTTATGCCGAAGGCCCCATGTGGGTGAGTAGAAGACTGGTGTTGATTGGAGGGCTGTTCGCCTATGTGTGAGACCCCATGCTTGTTTTTGATGGGAAGGCTGCCTTGATCATCACGTGGAAGTCCAGTTTGCCATTGGCGTGTCACATATGGTGTGTGAAATGGGGCTTCGTCCATATTGGAATGGTGTGATGACTTAATACGTGACTGCTCCTTCACGTATTCCTCCGTATGTTGCAGCCGTTTTAGAGGTGAGAGAGGGATAGGTTTTTTGGCTGCAGATCTTAGATCACTCTCAACTAGGCCAGCTTCCAGGGTTTCCAATTCGGCTTTAGCAGCGTCCCTTTCTTTCTCTACCTGAAGTGCTTCAAGTGTAGCTTGTATACGGGCTTGTTCAACCTTTAAAGCTATCTCCCGCTGAGTATAGGATGCTCTGGCTTCAGCTGCTTCGGCTTTTGCTCGTGCTCTTGCGACGGCAAGCATGGCATTTGAACTGAGGGATGAACCGCTTTCCCTTGAACGGGTTTGTAGAGACCGGGTTTCCTCGTTGAGTTTGTCGTTCGTAGGTTCCGCTTTGTCCCCGACAGTCTTGGAACTTGCATGACTCATCTTGAGGTGAAAGGTGGCTCAATGTTGTTTAAGATAGCTGAGGTTCCACGTAGATGCTCTCCGATGTGTGGAGCTTGTTGTAATGCTGTCTTTTTACTGTACTGTTCTCACTAGATGTTCCTGGAATCTAGCTATTCAGTCAGCATAAACATGAACTTCGAATAATTCCAGGAGAACGGGATTCTGAATTGGAGATTACTGAAGCTCTTGAATATTCTTATATTCTTTATTGTAAAACTGTAACACACAAGAAAAAGACATTGTTTTACAGTTGCAATGGGATAAGTATACATGACAGGTATACGGAAACACAACATAAATTACCATGCTATAGTCATGCTAGACTAGTTAGACAACTTAGAAGGCTAACAAATCTATGTTATAACTGAAGAGAAAACAAGAGTTTAGCTAAATGCTAATATGCTAAAGAGGCTAAGCTAACAACGAGCTAATATGCTAAAGAGGCTAAGCTAACAACGAGCTAATACGCTAGCGGAATACTGTTACATTGTCATTGACATGAGGCGTTAGCTTAGGCCTAGTGGTGCAGATGCAGTTTAACATTGCATAATAAAAGGTAAGAAATACGATCAAATTATGAAATAAACACCGTTCTACATTAATATAGTTTCGACGAACATATTTACTTACAGACAATGCGCTTAACGAGTCTCCAGAAGATGGATGAAGCCAGATTGTGGAGCTAACAAAAACTGGACTGCCACATGTAATTTCCCAACTGACTGACACAACTTCCTGTATGACTATTTCCTGTTGTAGATAAAGCTGCGCTATTATCACTCGCCACTGGGGGCTCCCACAAACACACAGCTCTATACACGGAACACAACAGTATGCATAAAAGTATTAAAGATTCAAAACAAGAAATTATAATTTAAAAAAAATACACATTTCACAAAATACACATCCAGCAACAACAGTTTGGAGGATTTAGCAGCCTGGTATATTACAGTTTTAGCGGCATATTTATATATATATATATATATATATTAATGCTGTCAAAATTATCGCGTTAACGGCGGTAATTAATTTTTTGAATTAATTGCGTTAAAATATTTAACGCATTTAACGCATGTGCAGAATGGCCCGCCCCATACGTGCCACCAGTGGCAGCGCCAGGGTATGGCTGGGGTAAGCTACACCCATACCAAGAAATGGCTTAGCCCCACCATGAAAAATTATGTTAAAATAGGCACAATAAAGTCTGCCAACTCGCGCGGAGTAAATTGCACAGACAGCAGTTAGTAAGATTGATTTCAGTATCCACGGTTTTGAAAACTTTTGTCACGTAGTGATCGTCTTTTCAATAGAACATCTTTGATAACGGCGTGGTGTTGTTGCAGGAAGTCCCGACGGAGAATACTTTTGCTGTAGTACAGGTAACACAACACATAACTGGTACGCAGGTTATGTGCGTAATCTGAAATGCGTCTCGTCACTTGTGTCACAAAGCGCATTTGCGTACCGACGTACTTGTGAAGCTTTTCCAGAAGGCGGTTAGATCACCGGACGACAGAGTCGGTCTCCGTGTGCACAGACAGGGCTGCTGTTAACGTCGGTCTGTACCAAAACTACGCCAACCGGCTGCGGAGGGAGACTCCCTCCGAAAAAGGTGAGAAGGATATTATCCCTCTAGGGGGGTCCGGGGGCATGCTCCCCCGGAAGAACATTTTGAATATTCCATATTTTAAAGCATCAATCTGATGCATTTTGAGATGCATTTTTTTGCCAACCTGGGGAGAGCTGGAGAAACTTAACTTTAAAAAAAAATACAATAATACTTTATTCCGAGTGTGCTTGCTTTTCTCTTTGAAAGTCATCACATAACGGCATTGTAATACACGGTTCGGCTGCATTAAATATTACATATCTGCCGTAATTCTCTATTTATAGAGCCCTGATGAGAAGACTTCTCGACAAACAGGAGAACTGCCGCCAAAACTGAAGATGTGACGTGGATCATAGATATATAAGCAATTATACAACATCTTACATTTCTTTTCACACAATGCGTCTCCTTGCAGTATCAACACTAATTCGGCTGACTTTTATATTTGATCCAATTGGTAGATAGGCTGTATTTACACCATAACGGTGCAGAGCTGATAGAAAGGCACATCTGGTGGTTAAAGCACGTTATTGAATTTTATTATTTTATTATTAGATATTAATAGGATCCCTATAAAGTATATTCATTACTCATTATTCTCTACTAATAGTTCATTAAAGACTGTATATAATGACTAGTTTGCACATCCCTTTCAAGATATTCTAAGCTAAGGTTTATTGACATATCATATTATACACAACTACTGTGTAGTTATGCAATGAATGAAAAACTTGGGTGCAGGTTCCTCAACAGTGCATTACAAGACATCTATCAATATGTGTGTATACCTCCACCATTAAACTGTCATTCTGCACATTTCTTATACTATCTACATACATCTTATAAGAGTATAATACATATGTATAATATCAGTTTAATAATAAACAAATAATAAACAAATAAGTGCTTAAACATAGTTAACATTGCAGGAAAGCAATATATTAGACGTTAAGTACTTTGTCAGGCTTAATATGTATCTGTAGATACAAATGTCACTGTGTGTGCTGTGTGCTCTGCATGTGTGACCATTAAAGAATCAGAATCAGAATACCTTTATTAGTTCCACAGAGGGGAAATGTGCAGCGTTACAGCAGGAAAGAGCCACAGACAGCTTAGTGTTGCATATCTTGCATGCGTTAAAAAAGTACTAAGTTAGAATAAAATAAACAATATGCTAAAAAAGTACTAAGTTATAATATAATAAACAATATGCTAAAAAAAAGATAAAAAGTTACATAATTTTCAAAAATACAGATCAAAAACAAAACGGCATATATATTGATTTAGTGGCCAGGTATAAATTACACAGTTATTAATGGCATATATATATTGCACATATAGCACAAAGTTGGTTTGTATTTAGCAGCAAGGGATGTTATAGTCTGTGTTGTGGTGTGTGTAGGACGGTCTACTAGGGCAGTGCTGGTTGTAAAGTCTGACCGCTGCAGGAAGGAAGGACCTGCGGTTTCAAGAGGGCTTCATCCCTCTATATTCTTCTTAAAGCTTTTTTCTTATTCAAAATAAGACCTTAACCTAAAGTACTCTTTAATGTTTAAATTAAGCCTTATTAGTTTGTCTGTTTTGCACATCCTCCTATTAATATCTAATAATAAAATAATACAATTCAATAACGTGCTTTGACCACCAGGTGTCCCTTTCTATCAGCTGTGCACGGTTATGGTTTAAATACAGCCTATCTACCAATTGGATCAAATATAAAAGACGAACCGACAAAGACAGACGGAAAAAACAGAACTTAAATACACCCAGGACTAATCAAACAAACACGAGACAGGTGAGGAGGTAGGACAAAACACAGAGGCACCAGGTGAACACAATCGGGTAATCAGGGAGGGAAAACAGAGAGAAAGCAACAGGCAGGAAACGGGGGTGAACACTTTACAAAATAAAACAGGAAACCCAAAGATAGAAAAAGACAAGACAAAACAACAACACAGACAGATCCTAACAGTAGGATTGGCAGGACCCCCGGCAGGAGAGTAGACGGCGGGACCTCCAACGAGACAGGACAAAGGGTTGGCAGGACCCCCGGCAGGAGAGTAGTCGGCGGGGCCTCCAACAGCACAGGACAAAGGGTTGGCAGGACCCCCGGCAGGAGAGTAGTCGGTGGGACCTCCAACGAGACAGGACAAGGAGCTGGCAGGAGAGTAGACGGCGGGACCTCCAAGGGGACAGGACAAAGGGTTGGCAGGACCCCCGGCAGGATAGTAGACGGCGGGACCTCCAACAAGACAGGACAAAGGGTTGGCAGGACCCCCGGCAGGAGAGTAGTCGGCGGGACCTCCAACGAGACAGGACAAGGAGCTGGCAGGACCCCCGGCAGGAGAGTAGATGGCGGGACCTCCAACGGGACAGACATACGATTGGTAGGACCCCCGGCAGAGGAGTAGTCAACGGGGCCTCCAACGGGACAGGACATGGAGTTGGCAGGACCCCCAGCGGAACCTCCAACGGACCAGGACATTGGGTAGGGACTTGAGACGTGACTCGAGAGGAGACTCGAGAGGGGAACCAAGGGGGAACTCGAGATGTGACTCGAGAGGAGACTCGAGAGGAGACTCGAGAGGGGAACCAAGGGGGAACTCAAGAGGGGACTCGAGAGGAGACTCGAGAGGAGACCTAGAGAAGGGAACTCGAGTGGGGACTCGCGAGGGAAACTAGAGAGGGGACTCGAGGAGGGACTAGAGAGGGGACTCGAGCAGGGACTAGAGGAGGGACTAAAGGAGGGACTAGAGGAGGGAACTGGAGAGGGGACTCGAGAGGGAACTCGAGAGGGAACTGGAGAGGGGACTCGAGAGGGAACTGGAGAGGGGACTCGAGAGGGAACTGGAGAGGGGACTCGAGAGGGGACTTGAGAAGGGATTTGAGAGGAGACTGGAGAGGGGACTAGAGAGGGGACTCGAGAGGGAACTCGAGAGGGGACTCGAGAGGGGACCCGAGAGGGGACCCGAGAGGGGACCCGAGAGGGGACCCGGGTAGGAACTTGAGAGGGGACTCGGGTAGGAACTTGAGAGGGGACTTGAGTCGGTCGGTACGCCGACAGGACACGGGGAGCTGGCGTCGGCTGGGGAGCCAGCAGGAGACGAGGTGCTGGAGTCGGCCGGTACGCCGACAAGACTCGGGGAGCTGGCGTCGGCTGGGGAGCCAGCAGAAGACGAGGTGCTGGAGTCGGCCGGTACGCCGACAAGACTCGGGGAGCTGGCGTCGGCTGGGGAGCCAGCCCTGTAGCCGAAACTGGAGTCGAGCCCATGGCTTCCGGGGCCGGTACTGAAGCCGGAACCATGGCTGCTGGGGCCGGAACCATGGCTGCGGGGGTCGGAATTGATGCCAGAATCATGGCTGTAAGGTCCTGTTCTGGAGCCGGAAACATGCCTGTAAGGTCCGGTTTTGGAGCCGGAAACATGGCTGTAAGGTCCGGTTCTGGAGCCGGAAACATGGCTGTAAGGTCCGGTTCTGGAGCCGGAAACATGGCTGAATGGGCCGGCTCTGGAGCCGGAATTGAAGCCAGACTCATGGCTGCTGGGTCCGGCGCGGAAGCCTGGACCCTGGCTGTGTAAGCCAGGTAATCCAGTATGGACGCAAAGCTGCGTGGGCCGGTACTGGAGCATGGAGGCATGGCTGCTAGCTTGGCTTTGCGCCTCCTTCTCTTAGCAGCCGCCGGAAAGCTCCGTGGACCTCCATAAGCCAGACGAGTTCCAGCATACGACTCCTGGACAGGAGCAGGAACTGGGGCAGAAGCACTGGCTGACTCCAGACGGACCACACCGAGATGTTTGTAGTCAGCAGGCTGGAAATCACACACCCAGAGGAAGTTCAAAATCCAGCCAGGCAAGAACTTCACCAAGTCTGGTTTCTCCATAGCCAACCGGTGCGCCTCTACCAGAGCGGCCTCCCTCTGCTGAACACTGGACGCTCCACTCCATCAATCACAGCAGCAAGCCAAACAAAAGGAAAAATGCTGTAGCTCCACCTCAAATGGATCATCTGCTGGGTCCATTTCTGGTCGGTTCATTCTGTCACGGTTTGTGTAGGAAACAGGACCCAAATGCAGACTTAAGTGACAAAAAGAATTCCTTTATTTCAAGGCTGCAATATCTAGACACAGAACAGAACACTCACCGCAGAATTACTCAAAACACAAGACGAACCGACAAAGACAGACGGAAAAACCAGAACTTAACTACA